GGACCAGAGTTCTATTCAAACTGGGTTATTCATTGTTCTCTGGACAAGTTGAATTCCTCCCTTTCTAAACCTTGTATCTTTTCTTCTCATTTTCCATAGTAGATGGGGTCTGTGTCAATGTTTATTGACACAGAATGTCTTCTTGTTAAAATCCTGCTCGTTTTAACAATTCACCTTAAACACCATTTTCGGCAGCTGGCAGCCAGAGGGCCTGGGGACTCATGCATATGCTTGGGTCTCAAGTGGAGAGTAAGGTCCCATGCTGGTGTGGTATGCTGGTGGTCCAGGCCTGGGGACTTGCACTTGAGCTTGGGTCCCAGGTGGGCAGAGGGTTAGTATCTCAGGCTGGGTTGCATGCTTGAAGATAGGTCTGGAGACCCATGCATGCATGCACTTGGGTCCCGGATGGGTGAGTGGGGCTCCAGGCCGGCATGCCTTCCCACCAGAGGAAGACCAGGCTGAGGAACTCATGTGTGCACGTGTAGGCATGGGGGCTGTGGATTGCTCAGGGAAGGAGATATGGAATGTGTGCGAGGGGAAACCACTGAGGGACTTTGTTGGAGATAAGGGATGACTTCTGGGGGATTTCCACCAACCAAACCACTCTTCTTGCAGGTAAGCAAGGGGGCTGAGACTGAGAAGTTTTGAGGAGGGAAACTGGAGGACTTTCCAGGGTCAACCAATCTACCCCCTATGTGGGAAACCTGAGCTGGGCTAGTTAGCATCTACCACCACTGCCCACCACCTATCAGTGCACGTGAAAGCCAGGGCTAGGAGACCTGCGTGGCAGGACTAGACTTCAGTACCCACCAGTGAGTGTTGGAACAGGGGAAGGATCAACATTAGGCTGGGCCATAAAATTAAACAGCATGTGCAAGAACTGGGTCTGGGGGGGACAGCCTGTGGGAGCTATGTGGGTTCACCCTGTGGGACTGCAATATCCCCTGGTTTGCTCAAGAGTTGGGGGAGTGCTGGTAATGGGCCAAACTAGGCATGACCATGAACACTCATCTGGGGTTGGGATCTGGCAGGGCTGGTCCAGGCTGTAGCACCTGCAGGTGCACCCAAAATTAGGTATAGGGTGGGTCAGTCTCCAACATCCACCAACATATACAAAGATTGACTGACTGGGGCATGTCAGGTAAGCTGTGTGAGCACCTGCTGGCATGTGTGAGCTCTGTGTCTGGGAATGGGGAACTAGAACTCTCCTGGTGGGCTGTAGCTCCTGCAGGTGAGCATGAATCAGGACTGAGTGTTGATCAGGCTGGGCAAAGCTGCTCCTTTTGGCCATAGATGTGTGGGTTGGCTCTCGGGGGAGGGGTAAACTGGGCCAAACCGTAGCACACTGGCATGTGCAGAAGCCAGGATGGTATGCAGGTGGGCCATGCCAGGCTAGGCTATCACAATCTACTGGTTTGCATGAAAGCCAGGGATGGAGGCAGGCTGGGCAGGGCTGTATTGCAGCACCTACCAACAAGAGTTAGGACTCGGGGTAGGCCAGGCCAGATTGTAGCATCCGGTGGCAAAGGCCAAGATAGTGGATGGGCTATGCCAGGCTGGGACAGAGCAACCACCAGAATGTGCAAGATCTGTGGCTGAGTGTGGGACTGGTTGGGGAGCCAAGGGAATGCCCCTAGCTAGGCTGCGGTTCCCATTGGTGAGTGTAAGAGCCAGAATGCAGGTGGCGAACTGGACTGGACATGGCTGCAGCACTCTTGACATAGGTATAAACTGGGTCTGAGGTATGCCAGACTGGGCTACCCTCCACCCACTGGTGCCTGCAAGAGCCAAAGTGTGTGGAAGACAGGCTGGGCTACATCACGGCACCTGCTGAGCCATGTGATAGCTGGGTCTGGGGGTGGCTAGGTGGGGCTGGGTTGCAGCACCCAACAACAGAGCTTGAATGGGTGTGGGCTCGTTGGGCTAGGCCACTGTTCCTGCCAGGATAGGAGGTAGCCTGAGTCAGGATGATCCAATAACTCACTGGTGTGTGCGAGATCTGCAACTGGGAGGTGACCTGATAGAGGAGCTTGGGGAATTGGGAATAGCCTGATCAGGTCAGGTTACAGTACCCACTGGCATACCTGTGGGTCAAATCCTGGGGGTGGGCTCTGCTGGGCCAGTTCATAGCACCCACTGGCAGATGTGCGAACCAGGATGGGGTATGGAACAGGCTAGGTTGGGACACAACACCAGCCAGTTCACATTAAGGCCAAGATTGGGGACTGCCAGGCTGGGCTAAGCTGCAGCACCCACTAGCTTGAGCTGGAACAGGGGGAAGGCTGGACCAAGCCAGCCTGCAGCACCCATCAGCACATCGACGGTAAGAGCCAGGAAAGGGGGACAAGCCCAACAGGGGGGCTGTGGAGACTCTTGCTAAGTCACTGCTCTGCTGGTGAGCATGAGCTGGGATTGGGGGTGGACCAGGCTTGGCAGGGCTACAAAGCCCATTGGCCTGCATGTGAGCCGGGTCAATGGGAAGAGCCAGACTGGGCTAAATGATGATATCTACCGGTGCATGCATGAGCCAGATAAGTGCAGGCTGGTTGGGCTTTGCTATTGCATCGGCTAGAGGTGCTGGGAATGGGGGCAAGTCCTGTCAGGCTAGACCACAGAACCATCTGAAAAGCACAAGCTCCAGGGCTGGGAGTGAGCCTAATAGGGAAATTGTGGGCACCCCTCGGATAGGCTGCAGCTTCCACTATTAAGCATGAAAAGTAGAGCTGGGGGGTGAGTCAGGCTGGACAGAGAGTAGCACCCTCTGGCATAAGTGTGGGTTGGATAGTGGGATCGGTTGGGCCGAGCTAGACTGCAGCACCCAATGATGTGTACAAGAGCTGAATGGGATGCAGGACAGACTGGACCACTCTACACATATCAGCATGCAGAGGAACCAGGGCTGAGGGAGGGCCTGGTGGGGGTTATTGGGAGTTACTCCTACTAGCTGCAGTTCCTTTTGGTGTATATGAGGGCTGGGTGTGTGCTGTGCAGCATCCACTGGTTTGTGCGAGATGGGGCTGGAGACAGAACTCACCAGGCAACTGCAGCCTACCAGTGTGTGCAGGCTGATGTGTGTGACAGATTGAGCTAGACCCTGCAAGGGCTGGCACACACAGGAGCAGGTCTGGGGTCACCTTAGGCAAGGTTTCTTTGGGGAGCCCCCACCTCAAACTAGACTGCTGGACCCAAAACTCCAACCATAGTGAAAATCACAGGATCTGACTGTGGAGTGCATGTGCTAAAGTGGGCCTCAATTGCTGAAGCCTGTGCAGTGGATGGCATGCCCAGGTGCACATGGGTGACATGACAGTTCACTGAGGCCTACAGAGGATGTCTAGTACCATGGAGGGAACAAATTGGACAAGCTTTGAAGAGCAAGTATCTGGGAGAATGGAGACTCTAAGTGGACTACGTCAGCCAATGGACCTTGGAAAGATTTCCTCAACCTTGGAGCAACAAAATCAACAGCTGCTCAGAACTACTGCAACCACTTAAACCTTGGAATATGTTACACATCAGGAATCCTAGGATGACAGAGTGGTCTCCTATTTGCAGGTACTGATGGGTTTAGGATGCTGGGAGTGGCTTTCTCCCATTTTCTCCTCCTCCCAGATACAAGAAAAAAATTGAAAACAAGGGCCCAGCATGGTAGCCTAGTGGCTAAAGTCCTTGCTTTGCACGTGCCAGGATCCTATATGGGTGCCAGTTCCAATCCCGGCAGCCCTGCTTCCCATCCAGCTCCCTGCTTGCAGTCTGGAAAAGCAGTTTAGGATGGCCCAAAGCCATGGGAGACCTGGAAGAAGTTCCTGGCTCCTGGCTTTGGATCGGCTCAGCTCCAGCTGTTGCGGCCGCTTTGGGGAGTGAATCATCAGACAGAAGATTTTTCTTTCTGTCTCTCTTTCTCTCTGTATATCTGCCTTTCCAATAAAAACAAATCTTTAAAAAAAAAATTGGAAACTGTTGTCATCTATTTTCCCTCATTCCTCGACTCTTCAAACTCTAATCAGTGGTCCACATGGGCATGCATCCTTCTCAACTATGTAAACATCATCAAAAATAAAATAAATTATTTAAAACCAAAAAATAACCCATTCATTTTCTTCATAAAGTTCTTTATAATGGCCCCAGGCTTGCTTTCTTACTCCTTCTCTAGTGCCAAGGCCATGCAAGCCTCCCCAGCTGTCTGGTGGCCACCTGAGAGGGCCTGCTCCCCGAGGGCTGGGAGCAACACAGGGCACCCCCCCCCCCCCCCCGCTTCCTTGTCAGCCGCGGGATCTGACAGGATGCCACACATTTCCCAGAATGTCCACTGCTGGAGTCTGCTTTCCATCTCCCTATGAATCCTCTCTTTGCTAATGTAGCGAATGTTTTCCCATTATCACAGGGATATTATTCAGATTCCAAATGTTCCATGCTTGTATTTTTTGAATATCTGTCCCCAAACGGCCACTCCTCCTCGCTCATAGGATCATCAGAGATTAGACATCACTTTTCAATGAAGAGTTGTAAAGATAAGATTGTCCCACCCCAAATGCCAAACTCTATCTAGGGGAGCGGGCAATCCTGAGAACATGGGGGACCCTGGGGAAGCCAGGGCCATGCAGGGCTGGGCCAAGGAGGGGTACAGGCACCCACAGCTCCCAGGGCTGGGCTGTGCATTCCCGAGGGAGCTTCTGGCCTTTTTGAGCACAGTAAAGAGGGGGCAGGGGACAGGGTGGAGCTCTGCCCCAAGGCTCAGCCAGGAGGCTAGAGAGGGGTGCGTGAACTGGTCACAGGGTTTCCTGCGGGCTAGCAGATGGGGTCCTCGTCAGCCTCCCCGCCACTCCCTGGGAGCTCAGGGAAAAGGCCTTCCCACCCCCTCCCCCCCGAGGCTTCCTGATTCCCCCCCCTCCCCGCCTCCTTCAGACTGACCGTCAGCACTCCAGTTTCCATGACCCCCCTGCACGTCTTCCCACACAGCCCAGAGGATTTGTCGTCTAGGAAACCAGAGAATTGTTTCATCAATAAATCAATTTATTTAAAAGAATATGTTACAATTAATTACACTAAGTGACATTACCAAACAATTTTAGAGTGGTTAGCTCTAGAACAAGGAATGAAAGAAACACTGTTAGCCATTATGTGTCTGTGTATTTTCGTTTCACATTTCTTAAAATCACAAATAAAAAATACAAGATACTGCAGTGAAAATACAATTAGAGTTTCTCTCAAATAAATTAAAAGTGTGTATGGCCTGGGAAAAACTGAAGCCCAGTTCATTGGCTTACCAGAGGCGCATGACAGACAATCGGTGCCTGGTTTAGCAGCTGGGCAAGCGCCCCAGCCCGCGCCCCTGCCCTGGCGGCTTCTGTGCCTGCTCACCCCGCGGCCTGTGGCAACGGAGCTGCAGCTGTCGGCATGAATGAGGCCTGGCTGGCTGTGCTCGGGCGTAGGTGATGAGGAAGATAGAGCTGAAAGGCAGGGTGCTGCAACAACAGCACACTTGCTGCCTCTGTTCTCTCTTCCTCCCCACCTCCTTCCTGTAGCCACATGGCCTCCCTCCAAAGGGAGGCTGACCTGCCCGGGTGAGGCTGGCAAAGGATCCGTAGCATGCGGAGGGTGTAGGACACCACATGCTCTGAGCGGACCCATGAGTACACAGAGTCCATGCCAGCTAGAGATGACAAATCACCGGGTGGGGATGGGGCGGGCCCCCATACAACTGCCTCCTGGGGGCCAGGCCCACGGTGGGCAAACTCATGCAGACAGATGCTATCACCTGTCAGGACCCCATGCTGCTGCTCCAGGCAATGGGGCTGGAACTATAGCAGGGCAGAACCCAAAGCGACTGGCCTGCGGAGTTAAGGGATGCGACAACTGGGCCAGGTCGGAGGGTACTAGGACAGTCATCCAATTCCTCCCTGGGCGCTCTGGCCAGGCCTAGAAGCTGTCCCGAGCACGTGTGCACACACATGTGACCTGTGCTGAATTCAGGCCTGGGACGAGGGGAGGGGAGAAAATGGAGACTAGAATAAAACTACAAAATATGGTGGGCCTGGAGCCCTGCCCAGGGGACCCTTCCTGCAGGGGCAGGTGTCTCACGACCTGGGCTTCCTCCTGGTATGTGAACAGCTCCGGCCTTTGGCCACAGAGACTAGAAACACACGTGCAGGGACTGGCCACGGCAGACCAGGAAGATAATGCTGACTCCGCAGGGGGTTCCCCTTTCTCAGGGACAAACTGCAGAAGAAACCTGGGTAGGAGCCTCCCTGGGGGGAAGCCAGGACTGAAGTGAATGATGGGGGCTGGGGGGAGGAAGGAGAGTCACAGAGGACACTGCTTCATGCAAAGGGGGTTGGGATCCCATGGCCCTGCCCAGCCACAGCGACCTCCACATCACCACTGGGGGGCTTGCAGCAGGCCAGAAGAGAAGGGGCCGCCCCTTTGGGGCTCCCTCCTCCCCACTGCCTTACTGCTGCTGGGTGCTGCTTGAGTGCGACAGGCTCAAGCCAATACCGCTACTAGATTCTGCCAAGAGGCCAGCTACCTAGGGCGCCCCTCGCCCAAGCACCCAGTGAATGGTACACCAGGAGGGGAACCCAGCACCATCTGTCCACTCTCAGGGGCCTCCAAACCCCTGGGTCTCCTGGCTGGAGGCTCGCACGTGCACCCACTGTGACCGAACCCTCAGGCTTGCTCCTTGCCCTCCCTCCAGCAGGCAGTAGGAGCTAATTGCTGCAATCGTTAAGAGCTTCAACAAAGCCAGTGCCGAAAGCCTCTTTAGCATCTTGGAGTGGAAAATCAATATATCTTCTTTTTCAGGGTCCTTTGGCTCATTATTAAATTCATTTAAGCCAAAAGAAAGCATTGATTCTGTGTCAAAGTCTTCAATTCACGCATCACTTTTATCAATTGGAAAGCCGCGGTGCTCTGTCCAATGCTTCGCACTCTGGGTCCCACCTGGGCTGGAGGGGCTGTGCGTGGGGGGGTGGGAGGATGCGCTCGCTGGGCCACACCTCCCTGGGGCCAGCAGCAGCAGCAGCCAGGATGACAGAGCAAGAGTGGTAGAAAGCTGGCCTTGCAATGATGGGCACAAACAAGCTACAAAAAAACAAACTTTCAACCACCCCAGTGCTGCTCTAGGAGTCGGCCACACGTGGACTGCCCTCGGACGAGACAGAGCACAAGACACCACAGCACGGCGCTTCTTGTTTAGAAGCTGGAGAATGGGCGAGGGTGGAGAAAAGGATCAAAGATGTGTTTGGTTGCCTCTGGGCCTTAGTGCTCCTGCGGGAACAGCCATGCAGCTGGGGGACTGCCCTGCCCTGGCCAGTCCTGGAACAGCCACTCGGCTGAGGGGCTGCCCTGCCCCCATCAGTCCTGGCCTCTGACAGGGGCATTTGGTGTTGGGTCTCAGAGGCCTAACTGCAAGATCAGATAAGAAACTTTTCAAGGGAAAAGGAAGGCTTTCCTTCAGTCTCCCTGCAACCAGAAGGTGGAGATTCACTCCTGATCAACCATGTGCCCACTGCTCCTTCCTGAGACCTCCGCTGGGGCTATGGTTTGGCTGGCACAGAACATGGCCTTGCTCCAAGTTTCCTAAGGCCTTGATGATATTATCAGGTATCAGATCCCTCCTCAACACTGCTGGCTAAGGAAGTCACAAAAATGTAAATAGTTACAGGTGGCTACTGGTCAGGGATGGGCATAGTTAAAACCTCATCTCATGTACGCAGGGCATCTCTTCCTTCCTTTGCCCTGTATTTGTCCAGCCTTGTGCCTGAGGTGTTGGCTCTAACTTTGGTCCATAAGACCCTCCCTGCTGCAGAAAAGGCAGGGACATGTGAAACAGCCACGGGGACATGTTCTCCCACGGGGTCCTGAGGCACCAACCTCCTGAGCCCACCTCGACTCCACCTTGGGCCAGCTGAGACGGCAACCCAGAGGCCTTTGGGATGCAGGAAGGAGATGACGCACGATGCGGCTGGAGGGCCGTGGACGGGGCTGAGCCGGGCATCCAGAGCCTGGCCGCCTCGGGAAGCGCCTCCCGCCTCCCCTGCACCCTCTGGCCCGGCGAGGGAACCATGCCCCTTACTCCTTGGACTCTACGGTGACCCGTGGGCCCGAATCTGCGCTCGAGACAAAAAAAGTGTGGTGGTGGTGGGGGGAACCCCAGCAGGTTGTAAACTTTTCGAGTCCTTCGTGAGGAGAGGTATTTTTCCCTGTAATTTTTTTTTTTTCTTTTTAAAGTTTGTTTCAAAATAAAGAGAGCAAGAGAGAGGTCATGAATTATCTAGTGAAAGGTGTGTAAAAACACAAGCTAAAAAAGGTACTGCCATCAATATGAAATTTAAAAAGAAATATATATATGTATATACGTGCAGCTAATTTATGTATATATAATTTTTACATACATACATATATATGTCTGAACAGTGCAAATGGATGAAGTTCATAGTTCCAGTTTTAAAAATATAGTACAAGGAGAGTCTGTGGGTGTGAGGCCCAGGCGGGAGGGCAAGGACGCCTTCCTCCTTTGCCTGTCTTAGCTCGGGTGGACTCGTGGTGCTGCCAATCTGTCGTTCTCTACCAGCTGCTCAAGTCCAGAGACGTGACCTTCGGAGGGGGTTATTAATGAGATTTAGTTTAGGGCTCTTTGACATCGGGATTTCTTTCCTATTTCTCTTCTTCTCGGTTAATGGTTACTCTGACACGGGAGCTGAAGGGAATGAGAAAATGAGGGCGAAGGGAAGGGCAGGGGACAAGGAAAGGCTAGGTGGCTACATCCCTCTGCTGTGACCTCGTCATCTGGAAAATGTTCTGCAAGGGAAAAAAAGGAGAGGGTTATTGGGCAGACACACCTCCTCTCAAGCAAGCTCAAGGGGCCAAGCTGGACTATGGTGTCTGCTTGGCTGCTTGTCACCTAACATTACAGTTGGGGAGATGTGGGAGGGACCTGGGTCATTAATCATTTGGTTCAGTCTCTCTGCATTACAAAAGAAAAAAACAAACAACAACAAAAAACCCCAAACAGATCTATGGAGTTGCAGAGAGAAAAAGCTGGAAGAAAACCCAGATATAACTCTCTCAGCCCAAGGCTCTTAGTGCTCTATTAAGAATACACATTTTTGGGCCTGGCGCAATAGTGTAGCAGCTAAAATCCTTGCCTTGAACGCGCCAGGATCCCATATGGGCCCTGGTTCTAATCCCAGCAGCCACACTTCCCATCCAGCTCCTTGCTTGTGGCCTGGGAAAGCAGTCGAGGACGGCCCAAAGCCTTGGGACCGTGCACCCGCGTGAGAGACCCGGAAGCAGCTCTGGGCTCCTGGCTTTGGATTGGCTCAGCTCCAGCCGTTGCGCTCACTTGGGCAGTGAATCATCGGATGGAAGATCTTCCTCACTGTCTCTCCTCTCTGTATATCTGCCTTTCCAATAAAAATAATTAATAAATCTTAAAACAAAACATACTTTAAAAAAAGAAAAACATATTAAAAAACTTTTTTAATGTTCTTGACTTTGCCTCCCGATCCTCGGATTTTTTTTGAGAGTAACCAGCTAATTATTTAAGATCGTCCAGCTTCTGCTCCAGGAAGACAGGAAGACAGCAACAGTGCATGGCCACCTTCCTTCCGGGTTAGCTACAAAGATTCTGTCATGTGCAACAGGAGCACAGGATAGCTGCCCCTCTGCCCCTCTGGGCTGGGAGCACCTTGGAGGGCGAGGTCACCACCAGCAGGGACAGCAGGTGTGAGCGAGGGGACAGTCCACGGCCAAGGCTCGCTCTCTGCAGCAGGGAGGAAGCTGGCCTTGCACGCACAGCCGCTCACCACCCAGAGGTCAGCCTCGCTAGAACAAGGTGCTGGCTCACAGGGAACAGTCCGGCTCTAACAGACCTAGAACTACCGAAATGGAGCAAAGGGTCCCAGGCATTTTGCCTTAGGCCTACAAAATCTAAATGCATTTTAAAAAATGACAAAGTGACTGCAACAGTTACTTAGAATTACCTCTTTTCTCCACTTGAGCTCGCAGAACACCCTCTCAAAGCATTCGTGCATGTAATTGAACTGGAAGACAAAAGCGAGAAGGAAAGGCTGCTAGCATTGAGTGATTTCTCACCATGCACGCAGGGAGGCCACACCTTAGAACTATGGCTCAGGCTGGAGGAAAACCCTGACAAGTGCCACGCAAGGCCAGCGTGACTCACTTCTTGGCCTCTGGCTCCTTCTAGTGGTAACCAGGAATCTAGCAGCATGTGACCCGGCCAATCCTAGCTGAAGCTCTGCCTGGTGGATGCCGACAGACATCCAGACAGCTACTGCCCCTGCCTTCTCTCCATCCAGAGCGCAGGGAGAACCTCCAGTGTGCTGCACTTTCCCCAAGTAGGCCTCCCATCTCCTACTCACATATGGTGTGAAGATCTTCACCCATCGCGGCTTCTTCTCTCCCCGTGCGTATTCAAAACAGAAGGCCATTCCTTCTTCATCCGTGTCCCATCGCTGCATCTCATCCCATTCGAATGCTATCACCTGGTTCTAAAAAGTTCACAACAGGAGGGTGAGATCTGGGGTTTGAGTTGGAGAGTGCTGGGGAGCCCGGCAGCAGGAGTGAAATGGATGGAGACGTCCATCTGCACCGTGTCAGGCAGAGGCTGTGGTGCCCAATTCCCTTCCGCAGTTAAGACGGAGCAATGGAGAGTGCCTCCAAGGACCCCGGGGCTGCACTCTCACCTCCAGCTGTCCCTCCTCAGTGCAGGCATGCAGCTTAAAGTGCGTGATGCTGATGGCCGTGATAACGTGTCCCTTCCTTCGGGAGTCACAGGCACAGTGGGGGAAGATGATTTCATTGTAGCCCTCACAAGTCCTTAGCATGTTGAGGTACTAGGAGTAAAGGAGAGAAAGTGTTACTATGGGCCTCAACCAGGATGGAGGGTGGCTAAGGGGGCCGGCGCTGCAGCTCAGCAAGGGAAGACGTTGCCTACAATGCCAGCATCTCATAGCAGAGCATCAATTTGAGTCCTGGCTGCTCTGCTTCCTATCCGGCTCCCTGATAATGTGTCTGGGAGGGCAGCAAAGATGACTCAAGTACTGGGCCCAAGCCACTTATGTGGGAGACTGGATGGAGTTCATGGCTCCTGGCTTTGGCCTGGTCTAGTTTAGGGCATTGTGGCCATTTGGAAAGTGAACCACTGATGGAAGAATTGTCTTTCCCTCTCATTCTGCCTTTCATATAAATAGATTTAAAAAAAAAAAAAACATGCTTGAGATGGCCCAAGAGAATGTTCTCATCCAACCAAGAACTTAGCCTCTGGTCTCACATCTGTTCCACCTGTTTTTAAGATGCAATTTTTTTTTTTTTTTAACTTGAAATAGTTACAGAGAGAAAAGGGAACAGACAGACCTTCCATTCTCTGATTTGCTTCCCAAATGACCACAATGGCAAGCAATGCCCATGATGGGGCCAGGTTTCCCATTTTGGGTGCCGGGCTCCAAGCACCTGGGCCATCCTCTGCTGCTTTCCCATTCCATCAGCAGGGAGCTAGGTCAGAAGTGCAGCAGCCAGGACATGGACTGGCACCCACAGAGGATGCTGGCATTGCAGGTGGTGGCTTTACCTGCTATGCCTCAACGCCAGCCTTTCACACCAATTCTAAAATTAGAACAAGACTCTGAGAGACATAGAGGAAGTCTTCCATCCAGTAATTAACTCTCCAAGGGGCGGCAATGGCTGGAGCTGAGCCAATCCAAAGCCAGGAGCCTCTTCTGCGCCTCCCACAAGGCTGCAGGGTCCCAAGGCTTTGGGCCATCCTTGACTGCTTTCCCAGGCCACAAGCAGGAAGCTGGATGGGAAGTGGGGCTGCCAGGATTAGAATTGGCGCCCATATGGGATTCCGGGATGTTCAAGGCAAAGACTTTAGCTGCTAGGCCACGCTGCCGGGCCCCCTACCTTCATTCTTTAGATTCCCCCTTTCCCAGTTAAAACAAAACAACAAAAAGAACAACAAAAACCACTACACGTGGCAGGTACTTGGCTTAGCAATTAAGATACTAGTTGGGACAGTCAGTTCCGAGGACCTGGGTAACTGGTTCCTCTCCTGATTCCAGCTTCCTACTATTACAGATTGCCTCCCTGGATCCTTTCAAAATGTGTCTCAAATAAACACAATGAATGCATTAAAATAGTTTAAATGCACAAATGAAAACTAGAAGAGACAGTCACCAAGGGCTAAGAGGGAACTCACAATGTCCTTTAGTCTGGTCGACTTCCAGAGTTCCTAAGGAATGGGAATCTAATGTACTCTGAACTTTTTAAATCAGAAATTACTGTTGACCATGATAACAGTCAACCTGTCCAAATCTCATACTTATAAAATGCTGAAGCCAAAACAGATTTTTCAAATTAATCATTTTACAGACACCTAGAATAAAAGACTACCTGTGCTCACAGTAATAAACAGCATAACCAGCAAGAAGTCACGCTGAACGTCTAGGCCTCTGTTCTTTTCATTCACCGGACAGTTCCCAGTGCAGCCCCACTGTCCCAAAGGTCTTCAGTATGTTTCTATAGTTGTTTTTTTATTTGTTTGTTTTGTTTTCTATTTTTAAATATTTTGGGGCCTGGCATGGTAGCCTAGTGGCTAAAGTCCTTGCCTTACATGCACCAGGATCCCATATGGGCATTAGTTTGTATCCTGGTTCTTCCACTTCCCATCCAGCTCCCTGCTTCTGGCCTGGGAAAGCAGTGGAGGACGGCCTAAAGCCTGGGGACCCTGCGCCCGCGTGGAAAACCCGGAAGCAGCTCCTGGCTCCTGATCAGCTCAGCACAGGCTGTTGTAGCCACTTGGGGAGTGAACCCGTGGATGGAAGATCTTTCTCTCTGTCTCTCCTTATCTCTGTAAATCTGACTTTGTAATAAAAATAAATAAATTTTAATTTTTTTAATCGGAAAGGTAGAGCTACAGAGAAAGAGAATCTTTCATCTGCTGATTAATTCCCCAAGTGGCCGCAATGGCTGGAACTGGGCCAGTCTGAAGCCAGGATCTTTCTTGGGGGGGAGGGAGTCTCTCATGTAGGTACAGGGAGCCAAGGCCTTGGGTCATCCTCTGCTGCTTTCCCAGCAGGGAGTGGGAAGGAAGCGGAATGGCTGGGACATGAGCCAGTGCCCATTTCCATTTCTCTTTAAAAAGCCAGAGGCCGACCCAACTCTGCCAGGTATGAGAGACAGATGTACCCAATGTCTCTGCATCACTCAGGCTAGCACTGCTAGTACTACGTCTGTTCTCCTCCACCCTTAGACTGGCCCGTCTTTTCTTCAACGTGGTACTTTAGAGTCAAGATGGGAGAGAGTGAAAGGAGATGAAGGGGAAAATAGAAGAGAAACAGGAGAGGAAGATAAGGGGACTCCAAGCCCGAGTCCTCCCAGGATGGCCTAGGAAACAAGCAGGCAGCCTCTGCCTCCACACGCCGGCTGTGTGGCACAGAACGAGCAGGGCTTACAGGTGCTAAATGCTGAAGAGAAGACAATGGCTGCTAGGGAGATGAGGATACAGGCAAGCTGCCTCCTGCCTTCCGGGGAGAGGAGGAAGGGCACACAAACACAAGCAAGGACTCAGGCAGCCTACAGCTCAGGCACCGGTGAATGGCACTTAAGACCACTGCTATTATTATCAGGCACTGTGTGAGAAGGCTTGAGGGCTTAGGAGAAAAATTCCTCTCACGCAGGCTCTGCTTTGCATCTCTGCCATGGTAAAATAACAGCAACTGTGTAGGTGAAAAATCATAAAAGATTAGCAAGAATACAGGGACAGGGTCAGAGCCATGACACGCCAAGCACATTGGTTTTCTTCTCTCATATCCCCCTCTTGTCATCTGACTCCACTCTACATTTTTTTTTAAAGATTTATTTTTATTGGAAAGTCAGATCTACAGAGAGGAGGAGAGATAGAGAGGAAGATCTTCCATCTGATGATTCACTCCCCAAGTGACTGCAACAGCCGGTGCTGTGTCGATCCAAAGCCAGGAGGGAGGAATTTCCTCTGGGTGTCCCACACGGGTACAGGGTCCCAAGGCTTTGGACCGTCCTCGATTGCTTTCCTAGGCCACAAGCAGGGAGCTGGATGGGAAGTGGAGCTGCCGGGATTAGAACCCATATGGATTCTGGCACGTTCAAGGCGAGGACTTCAACTGCTAGGCCACCGCGCCGGGTCCTCCACTCTCCATTTTTAAATACGACGGAAGAGGGTGAGAGGGAACAGAGGAGAACTCCTGGGTTTTAATCAGCAGCAAAACTTGGGGGCAGAGAGCAACTCACAAAGCAGTGGCCAGGCGGTTGTGTCCAGACTACCCAGGGCTACTACCCTGACCCCCGTTACTTCCTTGTTGTGCCACCTCGGGCAAGTTATGTAACTTGGACAAATTACTTCATCCTAGGAGTCTAGTTTCCTCTTCTATAAAACGGGAAATAACAACATACCCCACTCTAGTGTTGCCTGTGGGCATCAAATACATTTAGCATAGTACATGGCACACAATTAGATGTTTATCAGATGACAGCCAGAAATTGATATAAAAATCTCCATTATCTTTAGCCAGAAGGCTAATTTTTTTCCTCAAGAATGCCCTGTGTGGGCGTGGAACAATGGCTCAATAGGTAAATTTTCACCCTGAAAAGGCTGAAATCCCATATGGGTGCTGATTTATGTCTTGGCTGCACCACTTCCCATCCAGCTCCCTGCTTGTGGCCTAGGAAAGCAATCAAGGACAGGCCAAGGCCTTGGGACCCTGCACCCGCGTGGGAGACCTGGAAGTAGCTCCTGGCTTCTGGCTTCGGATTGGCTCAGCTCTGGCAATTGTGGCCATTGGGGAGTGAACCAGTGGATGGAAGATTTTTCTGTCTACTCCCTGTAAATCTGACTTTCCAATAAAAATAAATAAATCTTAAATTTTTTTTTTCCTATGGGAAAAGACATATCTGGACAGTATTTCTCAAAGCCCCAGGGGGAAAAACAGAGTGAGGTAGAGGCAGCATGAATGGTAGACAGCTGGAGGCTGCGGAAACTGGACAGTGGGGCTGTAGGGGCCAACTGCACCATTCTTTCCTATTCCTTATGTGAATATTGTGGTTAATTTCTGCAGTGGAACGTTAAGAAGAGTGCCCTGGGCCCAGGCCTCTAGCTCTTGGTAAAATCATTCTGCCAACACAGTGAGAACACTCAGGATGCAGACTGTCTAAAACGCCCGAGACCCCTGCAGATCCCACTGGGTGTCACGGGGCTGCGAGTCGGACTGTCATCTTGCCCAACACCCAGGCGGCTCACTGGCAACCCACCTGCTCGGAGGTTGTTTCAGAGGCGATACCACCTTCTCTGCAAACGCTTCTGTCACGTGCCTAACTGACAGCTTTACAGTACAGACTTTTTAAAGAGAAGCAGGCAGATAAAAGGACAAGGAAAAAAAGGTCACAAGAGATGCTGAGCTCGGGATATCTTGAAATCTATTTGTGATCTTCAGAAAGTACTCCCCCACCCTGTTTCCCTTCTGCCACCTGGAAAGAAATGACAGTGTAGTAAGGTCACCCTCTCTTCCCCAATGCAGGGGGGAAAAGAAACCGCATACCCATTGGAATCTGACAGAAATGGGCCCAAGCTCCTTGCCCAAATCCTAGTTCAACTTCCGACGCACTACATGATCTTGGGGAAGAATCCTTAAGCTCTTGGACTCTGGTGCTGCTTGGTAAAGTGGAGGAAATGCGAGTGGGCAGAGTGGGGGTGGGCCAGGGGCATGCTTCTCTCTTCCTCCCCTGTCCACCACGGCTGGCTTATTCCCTCACATTTCAGAATGCAGAAGACCCCCAGGGAACTCATTTGTTGCAGGCCTCAGGTCTACACACAACCTGGGGGAGAGCCAGGGCACCTGTGCTGCCTGCCAGAGGACAGACATCAAGTATTACTGGGAGACTCGAGGTTTCCAGAAATTCTCAGGTTGGAAAGTATTACAATCCTAGATTTTTCACAGAGCCTAAAGAGAAAAAAAATCCTTACAATTTTACATAAACCCAAAACTTTGTAAGGAAGGAGGACCTGTGGCTTAAAAACATACTTAATGATACACGCTTGAAACAAATTACTCTTCCATTTTCCTTTAGTATCACGTTCTGAGTAGTTAAATGTGTACCTGGAATTACCTTCCTTGACTCACTTGCCCTTGAGGTCAGAGAAGAGGAAAGGGGCAGCAGCGGAAGTTTTATAAATGCTCAGGTCTCAGCAAATCAGGTATGCCCAGGCACGCAGGGTTGTTAACATAGAGACTCAGGGCTTAACAGAGCAGAACGCTGGGGAATAGGTCAAGGTCCGTTCCAAAGGCCTCTGTTCTCCCAAACAAACTACCCAGAGTCAACCCAGGACTAAAAGGGAAACAAGAACCAAAGACGAACCTCAGGAGGGAACTCTCCTCCAAACCCAGGGCAGTGATTCCAAAGCACTCAGTGCTGTGCCTGGTGAAGCCAAGGACCCAAAGACCCCCTAAGTTCTTCTTTTTTTAAAGACTTATTTAATTTTATTAAAAAGACAGATCAGATTTATGGAGAGAAGGAGAGAAAGATTCTCCACCTGCTGGTTCACTCCTTGAATGGCCACAGTGACCAGAGCTGAGCTGATCTGAAGTCAGGAGCCTCTTCCTGGTCTACCATGGGGGTGCAGGGTCCTAAGGCTTTGGGTCATCCTCGACTGCTTTCCCAGGCCACAAGCAGGGGGCAGGAGGGAAGTGGAGCAGCCAGGAACAAACTGGTATCCATATGGGAGTCTGGCACTTCAAGGTGAGGACTGACGCACCATGCTGCGCCCTAAGTTCTATCCCACACTCCCCAAGACTCCAGCTCAGTCAATACAAGACAAAGTTCAGAAATTTGCATTTTAAGCTGCTGTTACAAGTGGGCTGGAGACCACACTTTGAGAAAGAGTGCCTCGCATGAAACCACTACAAAAATGTTGAGAAGTACTAATATACACACTTTATCAGTTCAACAGCAAAATCATGTCACTTGAACATACACAAAGCATAAATCACACATGTCCACTGTTTATGTGAGAAGGAAAGGGAAGTTGGGAGGGAGAACTGAGTCTTACACATGACACTCTGAATCATCTAAATTTGAAACTCTGTCTAACTTGGTAAGTAAATAGGGAACAAAATTGGTTTTGAGCACACTAGGAATTACAGGCATGGCAAGACTGCAGGCTGTCCTCACAGTCTTACAGTTATTAATTTACTAAGAACCTTGGAGTATTTTGTCAAGATTCTCTTTGACAGCTGTAATCTGAATATCCCCATTTTACAAAAAAGAAAACAAACTGAGAAGTTTGTTGAATTGCTCACTAGCTCATGGTACCCTGCCAACTAATGGCAGTGACTTGGCCTCACAGTGGATCAAACAGCTACAGGAATGGCATCACAGCTCAACTAAATTAGAAGTTGTAATGTACTAAATGTGACCTGTACTGGGGTTGGGGCTAAGATCTTTGAACGCTGATACCTGACCAGATGTTAGACCTGAATAACATTCAAACTTTGCTTAGCTTTTCCTCAAAACCAAACTGCAACATTATGTGGCTAGTAGACACTCATACGCTGGCACTAGGTTTCACCTGCTTAAGCATGTTTAATAATCAAATGACCCAGGGGAAAACACATCTGTGAACAACTGGCATTCTTTTTTAGGTGAATATAAAGTATACATTTCAGTGTAAAAATAATTTCATAATATTTGTCCACAGAATAATCCAATATTTTTCTAGCATTTTGCACTGTGCTTTCTCTTGGTAGGATCAGATGTAACTGACACTGAAGTACTGAACAGCCAAAGGACAATGCGTTTTCTACAATGGTATTACCAGAAGCCCTTCTAAAGTTTGACTTATGTTATATTTTCAGGAACAGGAAGACACGGCTTTGACCAAGGCATAGCACTCCCATAGAAATTGATGAATCTTTAGTATTTGGCCCTGGTTCATTCCAAGGACAGATTTACAGAGAAGAAAGGAGAGACAGAGATCTTCCATCTGTGGTTCACTCCCCAAATGCCTGCAACAACCAGAGCTGGGCCAGTCCAAAGCCAAGAGCCTGGAGCTTCCTGCGGGTCTTCCAGATGGGTGTAAGGGCTCAAGGACTTGGGCCACCCTCTACTGCTGCTTTCCCAGGCACAATAGCAGGGAGCTGGATAGAAAGTAGAGCAATCAGGACTCAACCCAGCATCCATATGGGATGCCAGCACTGCAGATGGAAGCTTAACCTAGAATATCATGGCAGCAGCCCCAATGATTACCTTTAAAACACTTAAGAAATGTTCTAGGTGGCCATGTACAACTTAATTTTCTGTGCTGGTGAAAACATTTCACACCTGTGCTGTCCAATATGACAGGTGTCAATCACATATACTGACTTAGCAATGAAATATGGCTGGCATAACTGAAGAACTAAAATTTACATTGCCTCATGAGGCTGGTACCTATCAAATCAGACAGCACAGGCCTAGGATACCACGACAAACAAAAGCACTACTGAGCATAAATGTTGAAGCAACCTCAGGAACACAAGTTGAAAATATAGATGCTTTTGCTCTCAGTAAATCAAAATAATTTCACAGCAACAATTCAGCCACTAATGTCAAAATCTAAATGTCAGCTCTTGCAGTTGTATCTTTATTATACTGTAATGGTTTGAACAGCTTTTACTTTCTTTATTGAAGAGAAGACTGCTCTGTTTGTGCTAAAATGATAGACCCCTGCATAGTAACCCAGGCTCGCTCTCTGTGTCATATGCCGGAGCTTAAGACTCGGAGTCAAGATCTGCAGTCCTTCACCTTTTCAAGCAGCCCCTGACCAGGAGAGTACCTTACCAACAAGACTGGAATGACAGGCTTAAGAGGTCAAAGTGGCAGAGAAAACTGTGGGGACGCTTACCATGACCATTTTCCTCTGTTCGTACAGCTTCTGTAATTGGTAGGACTTTTCTTCTGCTTTGATGTAACCTTTCTTGACATCATCGACAGCCTGTCACCAACACAAACAGGAAGAAGGAAATGTCAAAATTATTAGCAACCACATTCTTCACACACATACACACACACAAAGACATGCATTTTCAGAAACCCTGTATCCACTTGCACCAGGGGCAGCCACAGACTCTGCACTGTGAATGTTCCCAGTGTCTGTCGTGCTTTGGAGCTTTGGGACTGCTCTAGGTATCTGAAAGACCTGGATTTCTGTGTTCAGATGCAGGAATTCTGGTGAATTTGTACGCGTGAAAATAACTGGAGACAATATATGGTTTGATATTAAAAGTGGCAAAGATATTAGGTATATATTAAAGTATATATTTATATGTTAGGTATGATATTAAAGTAGCACGGATATAATGCACAGACAGTAAGCGGAACATGCTGCCAGAACAGAGCACTTCCTGCTCATTACAGGCTATCTGGGAAGCCTTACGTGAACCTGAGGATAGCCGGAATGAGAGAAACACAGGCAGAAGTCAGAAGCAGGAATGAGGGGAGTGGTGAGTGAGGCAGTGTAGCAGCCTAGAGGGATAAGGTGCTGGTTCGGACAAGGCTTCTGGCTCTGCTTCCAATCCAGCTTCCTGCTAAAGCACCTGGGAGGCAGTGGATGCTGGATGGCCTAAGTTCTTGGGATTCTGCAACTTCTGGGATGGAGTTCCTGGCTTCCCACTTTGGCCCAGCCCACTCCCACCTGTTTTTACATTTGAGAACTGAACCAAAGAATACAAGATTTTGATCTCTCTCTGCATGTACGTACATGTCTCTGTGTGTATGAGTGTATGTAACAGACAAGAAGGAGCTAAAATAAGCAACAATATCTGAGTACTAAACGAATGAGCTGAGGAGAGACTGAAATTAGGAAGATCAATGGTATTGGAATACTTACAGTACTTAGGTTAGGAATCACTTCCCTAGTCCTTCTAAAAAAAATTGTTTTATTTATCTCAAAGGCAGAGAGAGAGCCAGAGATCTCCCATCCACTCACTGATTCATCCCCTAAATATCTATAACTTCCAGGCCTGGACCAAACCAAAACCAGGAGCCAGGAATTTGATCTGGGTCCCATACTGGTGGAGACAGCTACTGCAGCCATCATTTGCTACCTTAAAGGGTAGGTGTTGTCAAGAATCTAGGATTGGAAGCAGAGCCAAAGCTCAAACTCAGGTATCCCAAACATCAGCTTAACTACCATGCCAGAAATCTGCCTCAATTCCCAATAGCCTTTTTCAGGGAAAACAGCTGGCTAACAGAATGTGTTCAGGACAGAAAAGGTTTCACTTCCATCTCTGTCACCTGTCAAGACCCACTTGAATACTTCACTTCAACCTTCTCCCTGCTCTGGAAAACAGGAAAAAATTCTCATCCTGTAGATGGGCAACAGAATGAGATAATGTTATGAGCTTTATAAAGCACACATGGTCACTGATACCACTGGGCTGCTGCGTCCTTCCAAGAATCACAGGAGGGCAGTGTTCTGCCAGGGGCTGCCTGTTGAGCAGATCGGACCTCTGACTTCCCAGTCTGCACGCGGGAGGCTCCCGGAGGCACGGTAGCTGGTATGCACAGGGGACTGCTGCAGTGTCTTGAAGAACCCGAACACTTCCGCTGTTTATCACAGCGGACCGTGCTGCTCCCAGCTAAATTTAAACCAATTACTAACAAGCAAGAGGCGATGCAGAGTAGGGAAATAAATAGCAAATACTATTCTATCCAATATCCCATGGGACTTAAAAGTGTAATTCAGCTTGGAAAAGGGATTTTGCAGTTCTTTTTCTGCTGACCATAAATAAAAACCCTGTGCTTGTTCTGTTCATACCTTGAATACCTAGACCTGGGTCTGAGTTACAATAGTACTTAAATATTTGATGAATATTTTCCCCGGACAGAGATGGGTCGCAGTGATTATCTATTCTGCCAACTATTTCTTTCGTTGGTTTTAAAATTTATTTATTCAAAAGGAGAGACAGACAGACAGACTGACTGACTGTTGGATCGTCCATCTGCTGGTCTATTCCCCAAATGGCCACAATGATTGGGATGGCCAGGTCAAAGTTAGGCACCAATACCAAGAACTCCATCTGGGTCTCCCATGTGGGTGGCAGGTATCATTAGCTGCCTCCCCAGGCATGTTAGCAGAGAGCTGCATCAGAATCAGAACAGCCAGGACTAGAACTACACTCCTAACGGATGCTGACACAGCAGGCAGCAGCTTAACCTACCTCGCCACTAAACTCCATATACTCTAGTAACTCTGAATGAATTCTTTTTCATGTTGACAGTAAGAATGTATTTTTTTTTTAAGATTTATTTATTTATTGGAAAGTCAGATCTACAGAGAGGAGGAGAGAGAAAGAGGAAGAGCCTCCATCCGATGATTTACTCCCCAAGTGAGCTCAGCGGCCGATGCTATGCCGACCCGAAGCCAGGATCCAGGAACCTCCTCCGGGTATCCCACACGGCTGCAGGGTCCCAAAGCTTTGGGCCGTCCTCGACTGCTTTCCCAGGCCACAAGCAGGAAGCTGGATGGGAAGTAGAGCTGCCAGCATTAGATCTGGTGCCCATATGGGATCCTGGTGCGTTCAAGGCAAGGACTTTAGCCGCTAGGCCACGCCACTGGGCCCGAGAATGTATTTTTTTTTTAATGGAAAATATTTATTTGAGAGGGAGAGAGGGATGCTATAGTAACAATATAGGGGAATTTGGTGTGGAGGGGGAGGGTAGCAGGGGAGATCCCAGGGCCTATAAAACTGTATCATAGAGTGATGATAATTTAAAAAGAAGTTAAAATAAAATATAACAAATATATAAATAAAATTCTTTAAAAAAAAAAAGGAAGAGAAAGAAAAAGAAAGGTCCCCACTCACTACTTCGCTCCCCAGATGCTGAAAACAGTTGAGGCTGGGCCTGAGCTTGAGCCGGAAGCTGGGGACACACTCCAGGTCTCCCATGCGCCTAGTGAATCAGCCATCAGCACTGCCTCGGGAAGCTGGAGTGCGGGGCCAGAGCTGCGTGTCAGAGCCAGACCCCAGGGAGGACAGACACATCTTAACCGCTAAGCTGGACACCCTCCCACTCCCACGGTCTCATTCCTAGTTGAGATCATTCGGCTGACTAGTCCTGAGTGGGAAACACAAAATAATACTACCTTAGAAGCTTTTTTTTCTTAATTATTTTGTACTGAATGAAGATGTACTTAGTAAAAAAAAAAAGATTTCTTAATTAAAAAAAAAAAAAGTCTCAGGATCTCAGAGCTTTTTTTCCACAAAGGCCACTGCTTTGAAGTACTTCAGTTTTAAAGCTATTCCTTCCCTAATTCTAAATGCTATGCTTACAATGATAAATCCTGACTTAGGACTGCTGACTAAAAAGATCCTGTCTCGGCCTGTGCCACTCTTTCTCCCTCTAGCTATCATAAACACATTAAGCCAGCACTCGGTGACTTTATTACTGAAAACACTGGAAGCACTATTAAGCCACATACTGCACTACACCTTCTTTCTGGTATAATTTTTGTTTTTCTCAAGGTTAACTGCTTTATGTTTTGAGGCTATTTCTTTTAAGTTTTTTTTAAACATTTATTTTTATTGGAAAAACAGATTTACAAAGAAGGAAAGACAGAAAGACCTCCCATCCGTTGGTTCACTCCCCAAGTGGATACAAAGGCTAGGACTGAGCTGACCCAAAACCAGAAAACTGGGAACTTCTTCTGAGTCTCTCACGCGTGTGTAAAGTCCCAAGGCTTTGGGCCATCTACTGCTGCCTTCCCAGGCCACAAGCAGGGAGCTGGATGGGAAATGGAACAGCCAGGAAAGGAACCAGTGCCCATATGGGATCCTAGTACTTTGCAAAGTGAAGATGTGGCCATTGAGTCATCACACCAGGTACTCAAAAGAGTTTTGATTGACTAGGTAAATGATTGGGTCTTTGGAAAATAATACTATGGGAAGCAGTAGTTGTTCCTCAAAAAGCTGAAGATAACGGCCCGGAGCGGTGGCGCAGTGGTTAAGGTCCTTGCCTTGCACGCCCGGGATCCCATATGGGCACCTGTTCTATCCCGGTGGCCCCACTTCCCTTCCAGCTCCCTGCCTGTGGCCTGGGAGGGCAGTCCAGGACGGCCCAAGGCTTTGGGACCCTGCACCCGCGTGGGAGACCCGGAAGAGGCTCCTGGCTTCGGATCTGCGCAGCACTGGCTGTTATGGTCACTTGGGGAGTGAATCATCGGATGGAAGATCTTCCTCTCTGTCTCTCCTCTCTGTATATCCGTCTTTCTAATAAAAAAATAATAAAAATAAATCTTTAAAAAAAAAAGCTGAAGATAAAATTACCAATGATTTAGTAATCTTACTTACTGAAAAAGGATCTCAAAGAGATTATTTGCTGCATTATTCACAAGAACCAAGAAGCAGAGGTAGTCCAATTGACCTCCACAGATGAGTGGGCCAAGTGTGCTGTTCATATACATAACAATGTCAGTCTCTAAGAATTTTTGGTAATATGTATTTATTTACTTGAAAGGCAGAGTCAGGGCCCGGCGCCGTGGCCTAGCAGCTAAAGTCCTCGCCTTGAACGCACCGGGATCCCATATGGGTGCCGGTTCTAATCCTGGCAGCTCCATGGCTTTGGGACCCTGCACCCAGGTGGGATGCCCAGAAGTAGTTCCTGGATCCTGGCTTCAGATCAGCATAGCACCGGTCGATGCGGCTCACTTGCGGAGTGAATCATCAGACGAAGTATCTTGCTCTCTGTCTCTCCTCCTCTCTGTATATCTGACTTTCCAATAAATAAATAAATCTTAAAAAAAAAAAAAAAAAGAAAAGCAGAGTCAGAGAGACAGAGAGAGAGAAAGAGAGGTTTTACATCTGCTGATTTACTCCTCAAATGGTTGCAATTTCACAGGCTGGGCCAGGTCTCCCATTGCAGATGCAGGTACCCAAGGACTTGGGCCAGCCTCCATTACCTTTCCAAGTACATCAGCAGAGTGCAAGACTGGAA